TCCTCCTCCTCCTCCTCCTCCTCCTTCCCCCCCCGCCGCCGGCCCTACCCGATGTGCTTCCTCCGCAGGGCGAGGGTCTCGGCCTTGCTGTACCGCTCCTCCATCCCGGCGGCCCGCTCCTCCCGAGGGCTCCCCCGCTTCTTATGCCGGCTCCGGCCGCCGCCAAACCCCTCCTCCCCGCCCGCCGCCCTCCACGCTTTCCCCGGGGGGACGGGCCCGGCCGCGCCCCCACCGGGATATCCTTTTGGGCCCACTCGTGATTCCTATTTAGGTAAGGCTCCGCCGCGGCATTGCCGCCGCGTCTTGGAGGTTTTGTTTTGTTTTGTTTTGTTTTTTTCCCCGGCGGTGCCAAACGGCACAAACTTGCAAAAAAAGAACCGACCCGGTGCGGGGGAGGCGGGTGGCTGCCCTGCGCCCGCCCGCGGGCATGGCGTGCCGGCGGTGGCTCGCCTGTCCTCGGTCATTCTGGTGGGCAAAGCACTGCTGCTGCGGACATCCTCGGGGCGGGGGGGGCACCACGCGGTTGATTTAATCAAAATCAGGGTCGTAAGTCAAGGACCTTCACAGCTCCGTAACTTCCAGAAGCTGTTCGCAAGTGTAGGCTGAGAGACATACTTGTGTATGTCCATCAAAGCCGGCATCTGTATTTCTTGTAAAGCAAGGTGAATTAGTAAGAAAGAGCTATGGTTTTATACACGTAAGTAGAAAAGGGCTCTAGCCCTGGTGCTCTGATGCATTTGTATGCCCTTTTCAGTCCGGCCAAGACCTAAGTATAACGGGTCCTATGAGCTCTTTCTAACCACAGCGCCAGCATAGAAGTGATTTGCTCGAATGTGGCATTTCTCCGTGGTTATCCTTGATAACCATCTCACTGGAAGTCAAAGCCCATAAGAAAAAGAGGGGACGATTTCATGGGGAAGAAAGGCAGAATTCACATCAAGAGGCATCACATTTCAAAACAGCGAAGCTGCTGGTGGAGCACCTCAGCTTTACCTTGTCCCTGCCGCAGATTCACCCTCTCCTCGTCTAGAGGCTGCTCCTTGAGCTGCGTGGGCAGGCAGCAGCAAAGCTGCGCCTACTTCTCTGCCACCCCATCTGTAGCTCATCTGTGCCACCTGCAGCGCTACGTTTGGAAGAGTTTTCAGAGAGCATATGTAAAGCCACACAATTTCCTGTGCTGATGATACTTGTCTTTTCTAGATCAGTATCCAGCAAGTCATCCCAAATTTTGCAGATGGAAGAAACGCACCTCCTGATTTTTACATTTTTTTATATCTCTGCCAGTAAGCTACCTTTCTGCTTCTCTAGTCAAGTGTTTCTCTTCCTACGGGCGTTTTCTTGAGCTTCTTCAGACAGTTTTAATTTTGAAACTCCGCATCTTTCACATTCCTGCATTCATGCTCCATTGGAAACCTTGCCTCACCGACCGACAAAACAGCCATGTAGCAGAAGTGGTAGGAGGCACCAGCAGCTACACCTCTATATCCCAGCAGAGACAGCAGCTGCCTGTCTTCAGTGAATTGTCCAGGCAGAAGAAGGTATGGGCTTAAAAGATCGGAGGGAGTTGTCAAAGCTGTCAGCTGGGGCAGTATTGTACAGGCGGCAATGAGATTCATTGATGGGTCTCAAGAAGAGAGCAGGCATTTAGATCTGCTAACATCCAAGCCAAGCCTAGGATAGAGCCTGTCAGGAATGCTGTCTGAAGTGCTTTTCCATTTTGCCCGCGTCTCTGAAAGCTGGGAAATGATATTTAGCATAGGGTAGATGTAGTTCAAGTTGTACACGTTATATACTAGACTTAATCACAATCCCTTTGTAACAGTAAGGTAAAGAAAGGCTAGAGCGCAGGCAGTGAATGGCACCATGCCAGTCTGTGAGTTTGAAGGCATTTCAGGAGAGATGGTTCTCCTGCACTTGGCTGGTGCCTGCCCTCTGTCAGTACCGAGCACAGCCTTGTCCCTCCTCTGGGGCCACTGGGAACGCTAACAGTGGAAAATCTCAGCTGTTTATGCTGACCTGCCCAGTCTTGCTCGCACAGAAACCCTGGACCACAAACAGATTTAAGGGATATGCAAGCTACTGTGCTTCTACTACTTTACAAGCATGCGTCGGCAGCCAGCCCTGCTTGTATCAGGACTTTTTGTTCCAGGTTCAGCAAAAGAAAGTTTGTTCACAGCTAGATTAGTAATTGCTTTAAGCAATATTAAACTTCATCAGGAAAGCTCAGAGTGGTAGGTGAAGTAGCTTGTCAGAAGGGGAGGGGGTGTTTGTTGCTTCTCTGTTCCTTCATAGCCATGGAAAGAGGCTTAACAATGAAGAAATTATCCCTCCCTCTTGGCTCATAGTTCTTGCACGCTCTTTTGATATTATCAGCAGGAACAAGCCTGCCAAGTCTCATGTGTAGAGCAGAGGAGGTCTCTCCTCCCTGATTAGCGGAGAGATACCCTGCCCGAAACACAGGGCTTTCCAGCACCTTGTCACTTGGCTTTTTTAGACCTCTCCCACTCCTTCCACTTGCCCTCATAATGCTGTGGAGTAAATAGTAGCAGCTATTTTTCCATGGTATAAAATAGTTCGGGGTTTTTTTTAAATACTTTTGTTTTGTTTTGTTTTTAAAAAAACATACTGTTTTCTCCATCCTGCTCTGTTTGCTTTCTGAACATTCTAATTGATGGGTTTTTTTCCACACTTGTTTAAGGGCTTTGTCCTGGCAGGGTATCAGCAACCAGCAGCCTGGTTTCCTGTATGAATGATGAAAAGGGGTAAATATTTTTTAGAGCTATTCAAAGTATCCAGGTAAGGTGGCTTCATCTCCCCATTTAACTGTTTAAGGAGTTACAGTACTTCTGAAAAACAATGTACTGCTAGTGCATCCTGAGAAGCAAACCCATTACAGATGGCCAGTGGAAAATGATCTGGGCTGATGTTTCAGTACAGAAAGGTAAAAAGACAGACAAACCATACCCATCTGCACCTTCTGAGGGATAGCCAGCTGCTTCGCACTTACTCTGAAAGGGGAATGGACTTGCCTGCGAGTTGATGCAGTGATCGGTCCAGCAGGCCCCTGAGTCAGTGGAGCGCAGGGTGTGTTAATTAGGTATAAATAGGCCAAGGGTAAGGCAGGAAAGAGCAAGATTGTGTTACTTACAGAGCTTCATGGCAGCATTGCTTTCTAGAGCCATTTGCATGCTTGCTGGGTCCTGGATAATTTTTGTTGAGAATCATTTCAGTGCTGAATGTGCCAGTGGTGGTTGCAGTTCCAGATTTTTAAATGGCGAATTTGTTCTATACACATCTTTCTGACACAAGCTAATTCATATAATAATGAGAGTTGATACTTTAGATTTTTTTTTTTTTTTGCCATACTTGGTTTTACCAGTTTTATGTGAGCCAGAATCAATTACCTCACAACGATCTTAATATGCCAAAGAGAAGAGAGCTCCTAAAAGCTTGCAAAAACTTGCCAGGTACTTGGTAGCTCCAGGAGAGAGCAGCCAGACAAAGGTGATGCCAGTGAGAGCTCATGACTGCTCGGGTTAGGTGTGGGCACTTGGAAAAATTAGTCAAGCTGTAACCTGCACATACAAAAATAATCGGGATATTTATTAGTTACTGAACATTCTGTCTTAGTGTAAGCACATGAAAAACCTGCATCTTGGTTGATGTGACAGGAGCTGTGTCCACCTTTGATCTGACTAAAGCAGCTTGAGTACAACTATACTAGAAGACTGTGATCTCTCTCTGACGAGGTTTATGTACAGTGTTTTCCTGAACACTTCAGGTTATGTGTATATATATTTGTGTGCATGCATATATATATGCATATATTTATATATATGTTCAGATAGACATATATATACATATATATATATATGGAGCATCCAACCTCCAAGTTTTGAGCAAGAATCCAAAACCACCGTATTTTTCTACTGCAGCCAGGAGAAGGGAGAGGCCAATGCCCTATGAGTACTCTGTCTGGAAATTAGCAGAAGCCAACACAAGACAAATTAGTAACCCTGGGAAGACAGAAAGACTGCTTGCAGGAACATGACTAAAATGTTCTGGCATTCCCTTGTTTGTTTGCTTTTAATATTTATTTGAGTGCAGTTGTTACTACTTGGTGAAAAATGAATGCTTTGTCAGGTCCTTGTTTTGTTTTGTTCTTTTTATTTTTAAACATTTCTCTGTGTGTGGTTATTATAATTGAACCCCTAGGTTAGGTGAAGCTGTGTGAGATGAGGATATAAAAAGCCACTTCTGTTGCATTTTGTTGACTTCTGTAGTGTCCTTATTACAAATGGGTAGGGATTAGCAGGTTTAGTAGGTCCACAAAGCAGAGTTGGATGTCAATAATGGCCTTTAAGTAGTTAATGAAGAGCTCCATTAAAAAAAATACAAATGAGAGGGAAAAGAGCAGGCATTTCACATTGCAGCCCTGCCTGTGCTTTGGCACGTCACAAAATTTTGGAGGTGGTATCTGGATAGGAAGGAATGCCAGAGGAGAGTTGCGTCCCATGAATATGGTAGGATGTGAAGGCTGTAGGGTACCGGTCAGCTGAAGTTTGAGTTCAGAGGGAGCGCAATACTGAAAAGTAACAGGGAGGCAGTGAAAGGACTGAATGGGAATTCCCACCCACAGACAGCTAGCTCTAGCAGCAGCCAGAGTGCATTGGTTGTTACCGTACTGGTAATGACACTACCAAAAATACTTGGACTGCCGGCATAGCGCTTATGGTGACTTGGCCAACATCAGAGTAGCTATGTCACTGTGAGGGAAAAAAGCAGCAACTGTCCAGAACTTACTTTGTGTTTGTTTCTTGGCAGGACAGTTGCACCAGCACCTAGACCCGCCTTCCCTCCTGTACGAAAGGAGAAAGGAGAAAGCTGGAAGGAAGAAAAGGTCGAGAGTGACCGCGGCAAAAGCGAGGACTTGGGCCGGGTCAGGACTGCCAGGCTGGCGCGGCCTCAGTGCTCGCAGCCCTCGGGGCCGCACGTGCAGCACGGCGGAGCAGGTCTGCTCTCGGCATCGCCAGGCGCTTCCTCAGGGACACTGAGCACATTAAGCTGTAAGTACCTCATCTGGGAAAGGGAGCAAAGCTATTTTTAGT